AATCTGGCACGGTAAATGTGAGTCTCATCGGCGCGAAGACAAAGCTTTCTCCGAACAAAAGTGTCGTTCCACCGGAGCGACAGAATACACGGATGACTATTCCCCGATTAGAGCTGAGAGCTGCTCTTCTTGCTGCTCGCCTACTCAGACTCGTGGATGCGAGCTTGACGATCTTGGATTGCACGTATTACCTTTGGAGTGACTCGAGCACGGTACTCAGCTGGCTATACTCCAGCGAGCCTGTTGGGAACGATCTTGTCGACAATTATGTCCATCACATTCAGGAACTCACAGCTCACGGTACCTGGCGCTACGTTCCCTCCAGCGACAACCCGGCTGACATCGCTACCAGGGGTGCGGAACCTTCGACTCTTCAACACAACACCCTCTGGTGGACCGGCCCGTCTTGGCTAACAGGCCCACCTTCTACGTGGCCCTCAACCTTACAGCAGCCGCCTTCTCCGACCGGTCACTACGATGGAGGTCGACACACCATCGCGTCAACCACCTGCCTGACCATCTTGCAAGGAAGCCGCGATTTCATGGACGACTTTTCTAATTTGCTGCGCATGCTCCAAGTGCTTGTCAGATGCCGACGGTTCATCTTGATACTAAGGACTCGTATCGAGTGTAAGAAACTCATGACTGGTATCAGAATACCCGATTGCATGAAATCCGAAGCTCCAATCACGGTCGCAGAACTCCAGCACAGTTTACTTTGCTGCGCTAAACTCAGTCAAGTTCGTTACTTTGCTGCCGACATCAAGACCTTGAAAAATTCTCTTCCTGTCAAGATCTCAAGCCCCCTCAGCCGGCTAAGCGCCTTCTTGGACGATGAAGGCATACTACGAGTCGGCGGCCGTCTTCGTCACTCACTACTTGCTTATGAAGAGAAACACCCACCAGTCCTGGATGCCAGATGTCCCTTGTCAAGGCTAGTGATCGACTGGGCACATCAGCGAGCCTTGCACGGCGGCTTTCGCTCAACGTACTCGCACGTCATGCGACGGGCTTGGATCGTTGGCGGAGCAGTGGAGATAAAGCGACGAGTTCATCAGTGCGTTGTATGCTCGAAAGCACCAGCTCGACCCCTTCACCAATTCATGGCTCCCTTGCCGACAGCTCGCGTGACGCCCGCTCGGCCCTTCACCCGAACTGGAGTAGACTACGCGGGACCTTTCTCCATCCTCCGATCCAAGGGTCGAGGTGCCAAGTCGGTCAAGGGATACGTCGCTGTTTTTGTCTGCATGTGGTCAAAGGCCCTACACCTTGAACCTGTTGGAGACCTAACAACAGCGAGTTTCCTCGGTGCACTCACTCGCTTCATAGGCCGCAGAGGAAAACCGAAGGAAATCTGGAGCGACAACGCAACGAACTTCCACGGGGCAGATCACGAACTCAAGCAGCTGATGGCTGGGGCCAACCACGACTGGGATTCAGTGGCTGAGAGTCTGGCCAACGAGGGAATCGACTGGCATTTCATCCCGCCATCCGCCCCACACTTTGGAGGCTTGTGGGAAGCTGGGGTTAAATCGATGAAAACTCATCTCCGTCGAGTGGTTGGAACTAGGCACCTCACTTTTGAGGAGTTTTCAACCCTGCTTGCAGAGATTGAAATGATTCTCAACTGTCGCCCTCTGGGCCCATTATCTGGAGATACGGAGGACTTGGACATGCTCACGCCAGCTCACTTTCTGATCGGAGGACCTCTTACTTCTCTGCCTGCCACCAACACTTCTGAAAACCTAGACTGCCTGACCCATTGGACCCTTGTGCAAGGCATGCGCGACGCGCTGTGGCGCCGCTGGACCCTCGAGTATCTCAACACCTTGCAACAACGGACGAAATGGTCCCGGCCCCGTCCCAATCTCGCCGTTGGAGACGTAGTCCTCGTTGTGGATCCAACGCTTTTAAACACTATCGGGAAGTGGCCACTGGGCCGAATCGTCGACGTCAAACCGGGACCAGATGGGTCCGTCCGCGTCATTCGGGTAAGAACTGCCTCGGGAGAGTACGTCCGTCCTATCACCAAGATTGCCCGGCTTCCCGTCATTGAGCGTGCTAATCACGCAACAGACGATCCTGGTCCGACCGGCACCGGGCTCACGGCGGGCGGCCAGGCTCAAAATGGCCACAAATGAACCACGTGCAATCGTTCCTGGAACGAGGCGGGCGGTATGTTTGGTTTTCCCGCGCCACACGCCCACGCCAGTGCCACCATCGCAGCGACGGAGACTGTCGAAACTGTAAAAGGAGAGTGCAGAGCTCCGCAAGAAGCAGAGAGAGAGAAAGCCAACAGCGTGTCAAGAGGAGAAGCGTCGTGATTTTCGATAATACCTATACCTTTAGGTTACTTACTCTTATTTTTGTCTCTCGAGGGTCGAGCGCGACCCTGCTTTGATTAGTGCTTCGGACGGTTTAACCACCTGTATAAAACACAAGTAAGTTGCTCAATAAAGTGTGTTCTGAGTTTCAATATAGGCGATCATTGCGCCCACGTGCATCTCATCCTCCCCCCACATCCGGCCTGCAAACTCAAGCAGATTTTAACAAAATGGTCCTTCGAGCCGGATCTGGGGGGAACGATCTCGGTGCTCGTGCAAAAGGTCCCACTCGTGGACGACAGCCAGGTTATGACACTCAGAGCAGGCTTATTAGCCCGCCCCTCTCTGCACCCCGTGAGCGCGCGATGGGATGCGCTCTTTTCTTCGCTCTTTGTGCTCGGCCACCGTTACGCTGCTTTGTCATCCTCGCGCCCCGAACCAGCGTTCGTCGCGCAGTGGTGTGTGCAATGAGTGCCCGTCCGAGTGCAGCGATGCGGAAACGCCCGGGCACCAGGAGGTTAACAGTGCTCTATCCTGCTAGATTTTGCTGCAGGGCGCGATGCAGTTCGCGCTTTTTCTCTCTCAAAAAATCATGTATCAATCTCTCTCCCTCTCTTTCTCACACACATGTGTGTGTGTGCATCTATACGTGTGTGTCCGTGTGT